GTTTCTGTCACCTCAAGAAGTTCCCGCACGTCCCTTGCCATCAATGTCCCCTCCCCCAGCCCAGCCCCCAGCCCCTGGCCACTCCTGCTCTGTTTCCTGTCTCTATCGTTTTGTCTTTTCTAGAACTTCATAGAAATGGAATCATGCAGTGCCGAGTGTCTGGGGTCCGGCTTCTACCACTTAGACTGGTTGTGAGGTCCGTCGGGGCCACTACAGCTCTTGGTGTTTCCTCCCCACTGCTGAGCGGTATTGAACCGCGTGGATGCACCTGTTTCTGTGCTGACCACTGATGGAGAGTCGGGTGGTTTCCTTTGGTTGCTACGAACATTTGCGTATGTGTTTGTGGGTGGGGTTTCTTTTCCAAGAAGAATGTAGGAACACCCTCACCCCATCTTTCCCCCAACCCTGGCCGGAGGTGGTGAGGAGGCTGGAGGAGGCCCAGGGATACGGAGAGAGAGGTGTCGGTGCTCACAGCAAGGCCACCAGGCTCAGAGCGACCAGCAGCCCCTCTCCACTTGACCTTCCCTTCTGGGCCCCGCCCGGCCAGTCGCTCTGAACAAAAGGTCAGGGGCCAAGAGAGAGAAGCATGTGTTTATTTGCTCATCTCTGTGGGGCTGGGAAAGTTGAGCTTGGTGCGGAGCGTGGGGTGTGCTGGGATGGGCTGCTGGTGTTATTGCTGATGCTCGTCGGAATGATGTCTTTTCCAGAGGCGCCTTCCAGCATGTTCCATCTGCCCTCCCTCCTGTCGACCTCCACAGTCCAGGCAGATCCGGGACCCCGGTCCCATGCTAGGGGCTCCAGACACCAGGCAGGACAGCTGTCCGGATGAGCAGCGGAGAGGGCCAGGGCCCCCATGGATCTCACTGGCTCTGCAGGTGCCGTCCCTGTGACCACCCCACGCGAGGCGGCAGAGGAGGCCGTTCCCCACGCGGCAGAGGAGGACTGCAGCTCAGAGAAGCCAAGTGCCTGGCCTGCAATGGCACAGCCTCTGTGTCAGCCACATCCCCCTCCAGACCGCAGGCGCGACCCCTTCCCTGTCCACCCGGAGGTCTGACTCATTCCGAGGTGAAGAGAGGGAGCTCTCGAACCCTGGAATTCCTTATAGCACAACAAACCCCTGAGTGACAGCGCAACAGAATTTTAGTTGTTCACATAGCATGGTCACCAGGAGTTGATCAAAGCACTTTAACTCATCTTCTCCTGGTACTACCCTGATGAAGCAGGTAGGATTATTATCCCCATTGCACAGGTGAGGAAACTGAGGCACAGAGAGAGAAACTGGCCCAGGGCCATACAGCTAGGAGGCCAGAGAGCCAGAAACTGGCCCACAGTTGCCCATGGATTTTTCTGTTTGTTTCACTGTCCAGTCATTAATTCTTAACAGTTTTATTGAGGTATAATTTAATTTAAAATGCACCTATTTTAAAAGTATACAACTAAATGACTTCAGTCAATGTATAGAACTGTACAAACATTACAACAGGCCAATTTGGACAATGCCATCACCCCGCAAAAAGATTCTTTGTGTCCATTTGCAATCACTGTTCCGATCTCGAGCCCACCACGAGTCTACTTTCAGACTCTGCAGCGTTGCCTCTTCGGGAATCTCGGATGAAGGGAATCACACGCCGTGCGGTCTTCGCAGTCAGGTGTCTTTCACGTAGTGGAACGTTTCTGAGGTCGATCCACGTTGTAGCACGTGAGTCATGCCTTCTGATGGCTGGATAATATTCCATCGTGTGGCCACGCCACGTTCTGTCTGTCTGTCCACCAGCTGGACGTCTAGGTGTCTCCACTTTTCGGCCGTGATGACTGAAACTGCGGTGAGCATTCGTGTACAGGTCTTTGTGTGGACACGTTCCCCTGTCTCCTTGGGTATATTTCTAGGAATGGAATTGCTGGGTCGTGTGGCAAATTTATGTTCAACTTTTTTTTTTTTTTTTTTTTTTTAATCCTCACCCGAGGACATTTTTCCATTTTTTGCACAGATAGAGTGGGAGGGAGAGAGAGGAAGAGAGAGAGAGAGGGAAACATCGATGTGAAAGGGACACATCGAGTGGCTGCCACCCGCACGACCAACCAGGGCCGGGGACAAACTGCAACCGAGGTACATGCCCTTAGCGGGAACCGAACCCGGGTCTCTCCGGACCGCAGGCGGATGCTCTAACCGCTAAGCCAAACCGGCCAGGGCTGAACTTTTAAAACAAACTGCCGACTATTTTCCTCCCAAAGTGCTGCAGTGTTTCCGTCCCCGTGACCATAGATTTCATAGCCTGCGAGGCCAGACTTCCAACCCCAGGGCCATCCGTCCAGCCAGAGCGCCACTCGGGGTCCTCGACCACCTGGGAAGTAAAACGAGGCCCCAGGGTGGCCCGGGGTGGGGGGGACTCGCCTCTCCACCCCTCTGGTCTGTCTGAGAAGTGGGCAGACAGTGCGACAGGGGGTCTGCTCTAAGCTGAAGGCGTCACCCTCTGGGACTGAGAGCACTTCTTAGGGGAAGCCAGCCAAGTGGCTATTAAACCAAAAGGAAAAACAGAAACACACACACACACACACACACACACACACACACACACGTCAGGAGGGATCTCAGTGGAGCAGAGGAGACACCTTGGGTGCCCCGGGAGTCGGCCAGCAGCTCCCACACTCTGGAAGTCGGTCCCCACCTCCAGCTTTGTCGGAGGCCCAGGGAGAGGATGCTGGGTGTCGGCAGGAGGGCAGCCCAGGACCAGCCGCCTGGGAAAGCCATCGGGCTGTCCCTGCGCCGGGCTCTGAGCGGGGGCACCACAGCCCCGCTGGGAAAGGCCCTCTCAGACCCTCTCGAAGGAAGAAAGCCCCCTGCTAGCCAGGGCGGCTCTGACCCTCCATTCTGTGTCACAGGCTGCTCTGCAGCAGCAGTTCTCAACCTCTGGGGGTCGAACGACCCTGTCGCAGGGGCCGCCGAAGACATAACAGTAGCAAAATTACAGTTATGAAGTAGCAACAAAAACAATTTTATGGTTGGGGTCACCACATGGGGAACTGTATTCAAGGGTCACGGCGTTAGGAAGGGTGAGAACCACTGCTCTAGAGTCATTTTCAGTAAGAGGTGACGTTTCGCTCTTTACTGAAGAGATGCAGCTTTTCGAGGGCCTACATTCCGGCGGCAGCTGCAAACGGAGAGCGTAGCCCCGGACATGGTGGGTGAGGCCCTTTCCTCCCAGCTCTCTCCCGACAGGTCCTCCCTCGGTCAGGGCAAGGACGTGAAGGTGCGGCTGAAATGCTCGCGAAGCCCCCGGGGGGCACAGAGTCCCCGGCGTGGACGCTGCCTGCCTTAGCGCCCTCCGGAAAGCCAGCCACTCAGGACAGCGGCTCACTGGACCCACTGGGCTGCCGCTGCCCAGGGGCAATCAGGCTACACCTTCGCCACGTCGGGAAGGTCGTGGGGATCACACGTCACACACTTGGTGTGTCTGGCTTGCACTACCAGTCACAAGCAATGTTCAAAGGCTGTCACTGTTGTCAGTGGCTGGGTGACTCCAGCATCCCCCAAATCTTGTAAGATAGCAAGGCTGCAGGACGACCTGGGACCCGATGGCACCCAGCAGACCCTGCAGCAGATACAGCAAACATGCCAGTCATGGCTTCTGATCTCAAGCAACCCAGCCTCCTGCAGGGCACCGGGCCCTTATGACTGAACTGGGTGGAGCAATGTCACCCAAAGTTCATGTCCATCTGGGACACGTGAATAGGCCCTATTTGGAAATAGTATCTTTGCAGATGTAAAATGCGGTCATGTGGATTCAGGTAGGCTCTGATCCAATGAATGGAGTCCTTACAAGCAGAGGGTAATTTGGACCATCATCCAGGGACAGCAACTCTATTGTCCTCTCTCCCAGGATATGCTCAGCTGGACAGTGGGTGAGCAAGACTCTCCACGCCAGGTTTCCTTGGAGACTGCCAGTGTGGAGACGAACCAAAGCCTAACACTGGGCATAATCGGTACAGAGTGGACGACACAATGCCAAGGTGGCACTGGCTGGCACTATGCTGTCTTGTCTGCGTCGGTGTGAGGGCAGCCCCCAGCACATGTGGAGGTGACCGGGTCCCAGATACCTTGCTGAAATGGTCACGGGACAGCAGAGCTGGAAGGGGGGGCACTGGCCACGACAGGCGCCATGATTGGGACTTTCCAGGGCTGGCCAGGGTTCCCGGCTTCCCGAGAGGAACAGTGCTGGAAGGGGGCGCGTCCCCTGTCACGACAGCACGTCCTGTCCACGGGGCTCAGCACCACATAGAAACAAACACGCACTGCTGCCCGTTACACCTGTTCACCTGCCATGGTGAGCTACAGCTCCTTCTCAGGACGACCCAGCTGCGTGTCCTCAGGAGCCTGAACCCCAGTCTGAGCTTCGCGACAAGATCCGGAGCCAAGTGGGGCGAGGCCAGGGCTGGCTCAGACTGCCCTGCACGGCTCCCTGGTCCCGGGGAAGCCCGCTTGCCTCGGGGTCCTGGGCACAACGCAGCGGCTCAGAACCCGAGTCGGGCGCGTGCGGAGGCCGGGACAGGTTTGTGTGTGAAGGGACGGCACTGTCTGGTGTCAGAGGGCCTCCTGGACCACCTTCCACTCCAAGGACACGGGAGGTGAGATCTGCAGAGGGAAAGGGCCTCTTCCCAAATGGGTCCTGGCTGAGCAGCTGCTGACCTGCTGACTCCCACTGGGCCGAGCTCCTGGGCCTCAGCTTACACAGTGGGATGTTCGCTTTGCCTTCAGCTCACCCTCCTGAGCCTCAGTGTGAGGCCCCAGGTCCTGCAAGGGAGCTCACTGCTAGAAAGACACCCCCACCTCGTCCCGGGTGCAGAAAAGAACACCACTAACAGATGCTGGAATGAGCCACTGACGGACTTTATTGCATGACTGGGCGCCACGGATTCTCGGGTAGGTCACCCCCACTGGATCCTTCCTGCCCTCTGCAAGGGAGTGGGCGGGGCTGGGTGGGGTGTGAAGGCCTGGCAGGGGCTGGGCCTGGCACGTGCTAGTAGCCGGGGCTGAGGCTGTCCCAGAGCCAGCGCAGGGCCCAGGGAGACGGGCCCCAGGAGCCTGAGTAAGGCAGAGAAGGAGGGGTTCAGCTCTCAGGGCCCAGAACTGCCTGTTTCTCACTCTGGCACAAGCGCAGGGGTAGGGGCAACCTTTTCAGGACTGGACAGCTGAGGAGATCGGATCGAGTGCCCCCGCCACGGGGCAGGCCGGGACTGGAGGTTCTGATGGCAGCAAGCACCCAGCCCGGGCCAGGGGGTCTCCCTCAGGGTTGCCTGTTGGCACCAATCAGGATAGGTCTGGGGTCCTCGTCCCAAACCCCCTTCCACTGCCTTGGTCAGGCAGGACAGGCCAAGAAGCAAGAGTGGTCGCATTTCATAAAAAAAAGTTGTGTTTCATTAAAAACTAGGTCTGAACATGAAGACTATATCATAAAAAAGGAATTCTTTGCTCCATTAAACATCATTCATTCACTGAGATTTCCTGAGTACTGCACCAGGCCCAGACCCGTGTGCTGGGCGTGGGGTCCGGGGGAGTCTAAGGCACTGGCCCCGCCTGGCACAAGGCTCCTTCTCCCTGGGGGCTCCCACTGGGAAAGGCCGGTGAGCAAGTCCAGACCCGGAGGACGGGGAAGGCCTGGCAGTATCAGCTCTGCACAGACCAGACCTTCAGAGCAGCTGCTGGAGAACATGCTGCCTAAGCCCACCCTGAACAGGAGGGACACGCCACGCCAGGCCAGCCGGGATCACCCCGCTCAGAGCTGCGGGGCGAGGCACTGGTGCGTGGCCAGGGGCCCGAGCGGGCCATGGTCTGCTGGCCAGGTCTGCCCTGTGAAAGGAGGAGCGGAAGACCGGGGCTTACGCCACTACACCCAGAGGAGCAGGGCTGGGCCCGACGTCTCTAATGGGACACGGGGGGAAGCACCCTGCTTAGCACCTGGTAACCGGAGGCATCTCAGTGACACCCCACCCAGCCAGGCTCTCCCAGGCACCACTCAGCACCCCTCTCCTGGGGCACCCTCCCAGAGCCTAGAGGCCTCAGGAGCCACGCTGCCCAGAGACTCTGGTCCCCAACCCCACCCAGGCTGGCGGACCCTCCCTCCTGTGCTGAGGCGGCAGGGCCGGTGGGCACAGCTGGCACCGAGCTTCTCTGCCCGGAGCGAAGCCGCCTGGGCCCCCGTCTCAGCCCAGCCTGGGCCCCACCTGCTCTGCCTCCATGTGCAGGAGGCTGAGACGACTGCTCAATTCCTGCAGTGACCCCTCTGACCCTGCAGGGCTCCATGACCCCACAAGGTGGTACAGGGGTCCTGTGCCCTGGACTCCCCCCACCGCTCCCTGGGCACTCGAAGTCCTGGCCTGCAGGGCACAGTGTCCACCTCCCCACAAGCCCCCATGGAGGAACAGGGCCGCTGGCCAGGCCAGCCCCGGGAGGGGGCGTCAGAAGAGGCTGGGGGTGGCCTGGCCAGGCGCGTCGTGGTCCCGGATGTACTGCAAGATGTCCATCTCGTCCATGGCTTGGACCTGCTGCTGCTGCTGCTGCTGCCGCCGCTGCCGCCCAGCCTCGGCCTCTGGCGGGCCCGCTCTGGGGGGAACAGCTGGCTTTCTGGGGAGCGCCGGCTTAGCTGCCACTGGCGGCTTGGGCTTAGGCCGGGGCTGGGGCTTGGTCTCGGCCCCCAGGTTCAGAATCTGGTCCAAGTCCTCTTCAACTCTAGGGAACCAGAGGGGGGCGCCCTGAGCCAGCCTCCCGCAAAGCGCGCAGGCTGTGGGCGCGTGGGCGGCCGGTCAGATCCCTCCTCATTCTCCCTCCGAGCGGGGTCCAGAGGGCAGCTAGCTTCTGAGGGGGACATCCCGGTTCTGACTCGGGCACGGCCACCGGCTTGCCGGCTGTCATCAGGCGGGTCTGCTCGCCCACAGTGCCCCTGTGGGCAACACGGGTGCTGCACAGAGCCCACCGAGGGCCGGAGCCAGCCTCAGCCAGGGCCCCCCGACCTTCCACCTTGGCCCTGGGCCTGACAGCCTACAGAAGTGGGTGGGTGGGGTAGCAGCCGCCCAGGACCGGTCCCGGGCACCCAACGGTGGTCAGGAAAGGAGATCACAGCTGGCTGTTCCCCAAGGGCCCCTCTGAGGGTAACATCCTAGTTCAGACTCGGGCACTGTGAGGGAGACCACAGCTGCCCGCTGCCGGAGGGTCCCTCCTGGTGGAGGAGCTCAGTTCCTGGGGCCCAGGTCCACGCCCGAGGACCCACTCAATCCGTCCCACCACCCTCCCACCCGGGCTCACGGCCATCCCAGGAGGTGCCATCCAGGGACAGCTGCTCCGGGCAACCTCAGCTCAGTGCCTGGCTCCCTCCATGTGGCAGCCCTTCCCGGGCAACCCTGCCGGCTCCTGCACCCTCACTGGAGTCCAGGTGCCCGGAGTCACCCTCAGAGGGCCCTTGGGGAAACAGCACAGCTGACAGGCTCGGCAGAGCACCGGCTCTGAACGAACAGCAGCTGGACTTGCTCTGAGGTAGGAGCGGGACGATCTCACTTGGGGCACACGTGGCCACACGGGCACCCCCTTCCAAGCACTCCGTTTCCATCTGGGCTCTCGAAGGCTAGAATAGGTCCCTCGAGCGTAGTGACGTGCTGCATGGGGGTTTCCCTCGAGCCACGCACATGCACAGAGCCCGTTGACACTGGTCGCCTCGGCCATCTGGCCAGAGCCCCTTTGAAGGTGACGCCTTTAAACACCCCCTGAAGGATGTTCTACGGAGCACGGGTCTGAGAGTGCCGGGGTCTGGACCCGGAGTCGTCCCTCGTCCCCCTGCCGCTGCCTCACGGGGACGCGGCCTTCAGGGCGCAGCTGGGGCTCCCTGGGTGGAACGCGCCTGCTGGGTTCTGCCGCCCCGGGGGTGGGCCCTGCACTCCGCTTCCCTTTGCCTCCGTCTCTCCCCTAAACACACAACCACCCCGCTTCTCCCAGCCGCAGGGATGTCGGGGCAAGGCCACGGAGGAGCGAACAGATGTCAGGGGCCGTGGGGGCAGGCACGGCAGGGCCGTCCTGGGACTCAGGCGTGGCGGGAACTCGGAGCTGTGCGAGAGCCCGGCTGCCATGGAGGGTGCAGACGACAGCCCCCCGCCCGGGCCTGGCCTCAGCGCCACGAAATTGATCCTGGAAAGAGACAGCTCGGCTTCCCGCAATGCACCAAGCACGGCCTGCATTCTGGGGGCACGGAAGGCATGAGGGAGGGGTGCACCGTGCTAAGCACACCCACAGCGCAGAAGCAGGAGCCCCCCTGCCCTGTCCCCCACGGGAGGCCGACCTCTCAGCCTCCCCTCCCAGCGCCTGCAGGTGCCTGGAAGGTGTGGGCAGACAGGACAGACCGTCGGCCTGGGTTCCAATGCACTTGGGAGTTGTTACCTCTCTCACACTCCACTGACTAGGACAGAGATAACAGCACCCGCCCAGGGGCTGTTGTGAGGATCAAGGTCAAGGGTAAAGAGCCAGCATGCTGCGGGGTCCACAGTGAGTCCTCCGTGAGCAGTGACTACCAGCTTTGCCCACGGTCTCCAACCTTCCTCCATATGCCAGATGAACCTTGATTTCCCCTCTGTAAGACCCACAGAGGAGACTGCTGGGGGCCCCTCTGTAAGACCCACTGGGGAGACTCTGCTGGGGACCCCTCTGTAAGACCCACAGAGGAGACTGCTGGGGGCCCCTCTGTAAGACCCACAGAGGGGACTGCTGGGGACCCCTCTGTAAGACCCACTGGGGAGACTCTGCTGGGGGCCCCTCTGTAAGACCCACAGAGGGGACTGCTGGGGACCCCTCTGTAAGACCCACAGAGGGGACTGCTGGGGACCCCTCTGTAAGACCCACTGAGGGGACTGCTGGGGACCCCTCTGTAAGACCCACTGGGGAGACTCTGCTGGGGGCCCCTCTGTAAGACCCACAGAGGGGACTGCTGGGGACCCCTCTGTAAGACCCACAGAGGGGACTGCTGGGGACCCCTCTGTAAGACCCACTGAGGGGACTACTGGGGACCCCTCTGTAAGACCCACAGAGGAGACTGCTGGGGACCCCTCTGTAAGACCCACTGAGGGGACTGCTGGGGACCCCTCTGTAAGACCCACAGAGGAGACTGCTGGGGACCCCTCTGTAAGACCCACTGAGGGGACTGCTGGGGACCCCTCTGTAAGACCCACTGAGGGGACTGCTGGGGACCCCTCTGTAAGACCCACTGAGGGGACTGCTTGGGACCCCTCTGTAAGACCCACTGAGGAGACTGCTGGGGACCCCCAGGCCAGCTGCCAGAGGTCGGTGTCCTTTGTTCCCAAACCTGTTTATGCCAGTTATACCTGCTCTTGTGTTTAGGCAAATTAATTATTCTTTACATAAACGATTAAAATCTGAATGTGAAAGGAAAAGAAAAAGACGCAGGCACAATGTTCTCTCTTCTGGAACCTGCTGAGCTGCTGGACCCGCCTCCCCCCACCGGTTCCGGTCCCGGTCCTGCCTCCGCCTGGGGCAGCTCCCGCCCACGGGCTCCTGCCTCCCTCAGAGACCAAGGCTGGTGAAAGGCTGACCATGTTGGGACAGGTCTGTGGCTCCACCCCGGCCACTCCCAGAGCCGGAGAAGCACGGCCAGGGACAGGAGGTACCTGAACAGCTCCTCGTGGCCCCGGTGGGGCGTGGGCCCTCCGCTCTCAGGTGCTGCTGGCAGCAGTAAGGGGTCACCCAGGGGCACGGCCCCACCAAGGTCAGGATCGTCAAACAACTTCAGGGCTGTGGAGAAGGTAGCAGCAGAGTGATCAGGGGACGTCCTGGCCCGTCCTCAGTGGCTGGGGAGGGGACGCAGAGTGGAGATGGCTTGACCCCGCCAGGCAAGCGCAACCAAGGGACAAAGCAGAGCACAGAACCAGAGGGATGGGGCCAGGTGGTACAAGGGACAGGTGCTCATCAGGCCGGCACACCTGTCTGCCCAGTCCCCCCCCAACCTCCTGCCATACTGGGCCAGTCAGCTGATGGCATGACTCAGTTCAAGTTCAGTGGCCTCCCCAGGGCTTTAGAAGGAAAAAGCCTTATCAGCTCACTGCACCCCATGACCTGGCCCGGCTGAACCTCTTAGCTCAGCCCCCACGGCTGCACCCCAGGTTCCCAGCAAGCGCAGCCTGCAGGACGCAGTGATGAGTGGACACGGTCCTCACCGCAGTCCCTGCCTCCCAGGAGCCTGCTGCACCCCCACTGTCCCTGTCTCTGCTGCCCTTCGGGAGAGGCGACCACGGCTCGTCACCCGGACAGCCGTCCTCCAGCCGGCCAGGCAAACTGTGCCGACCTTTCGGAATCGGCTCGAGCAGAGCCCCCCAGCCGGAAGCCTTGCCCGATGGCCCCACGCAGCCGGTCAGACTCAGGCTGGCCTGTAACTGACGGGCGGCGCCCTGTCTCCCACGGGAGGCCCCATCCACACTTCTCAAAGCAGTAGAGAAAGGTACCCTCCCCTTCCAAGGGTGATCAGAATAGACACACAGCCCTAGAATGTTCCAGGCTGAGAGAAACGAGGTGCGAGACAAGACTTCTGCAGCAGAAAGTCTCCACGGCTGAGTCGGAATCCTGCTGAAATGAGACCAGGCAACGACTCCTGCTCACGCGCAGCAGGTCCAAAGCCACGCACAGCAGCGGCTCGGGTTCCCCCGGGCACCAAGAGTGAGTCACCCTGGGATCCTACTTACGGTCCCCGGGGGATGTGTCGTCTGTGGGGCCCCAGGGGGAGAGCTTCCTGCTGGGGCCGAAGAGCCCGTCGTCAGGGTCCTCCTCTTCGTCGAAGAGGGTGAGCCGGGGCGAGGGTCTGGGCTTCACAGCGACACTCGGGCGTTGTTTGGGCTTCTTGGAGCTGGAGGATCACAGATAAAACTCAAGGTTAGGCCCGGCGGGTGTGGCTCAGTGGTTGGATGTCGACCCACGCACTAAGAGGTCGCCGGTTCGATTCCCGGTCAGGGCACATGCCCAGGTTGTGGGCCCGATCCCCAGTGGGGGGCATGCAGGAGGCGGCCAATCGATGTTCTCTCTCATTGATATTTCTGTCTCTCTCCCTCTCCCTTCCTCTGTCTCTAATATATCAATAAAGAAAAAAATATTTAAGAAAATAAAAACAAAAAAAACCCCTCAAGGTTAGGACATGCAGGACGACCCAGGTGCTGGTGGGCCTGAACTCGTGTCCCGAGGGAACTCTAAGGATCTGATATTGGAGGTGGCAACATCCTGCTCTGGAAGCGGCCAAGCCCCATGCCCGGGAGCCCGTCAGGACGCACAGGACACGGTGGGTGTCTGGGCTACATGGCTGGCTGCAGAGGACCCCCAGCTGGGGGTCCACTCAGGCCTCAGGCTTGACTGCATGGTCACAGGTCAGAGGGCATGTTCTTCTTCCAGGGACTGCAGGGACCGCTGACCTCCGTGCTCCCTGGAGCCGGACTCAGTCCCTCCATGCCACTTAGAGAGGGGAGGACCCAGTCTGAGGCTGTAAACCTTAGGGCCCAGCCCCAGGAGAGAGCAGAAAGCACTCTTGGTAAACGTTCAGTTTCCCCACACACAAGCCCTGTCCCTTGAGAGGCATAACCTTCATCAGCTGAGTCAACACTGCAGTCCCACTGAGCAAACATCTTCAGGAAGCCCCTCAGCTAGAGAGCCCCGCTGGGCTGTCACCCCCGAGGTGCCCAAGGCCCTGCTCTGGGCCAGACACTGCTGTGGAATCCAGGGCACGCGGGAAGGCCCCCGGCGTGGGGTGCTTCATCCCGGTGGGGCAGAGGTGACAGGGCACGCGGGAAGCCCCCCGGCGTGGGGTGCTTCGTCCCGGTGGGGCGGAGGTGACAGGGCACGCGGGAAGCCCCCCGGCGTGGGGTGCTTCGTCCCGGTGGGGCGGAGGTGACAGGGCATACGGCACATTCACAGACTGAGTGCGCAGACCAGCTCACGTCATGCGAGTTACCACCAGTACATCAATAAATAAACGTGGGTTTGGTTTAACGAGATGATCCAATCCCTGCTGCTGATGCCTAAACCAGCCATTTCAAGGTTCCTGCAAACAAGAATACGCTTTTTACTGGAAACAGGATTTCTGGTTGGACTGCCTGCCTGGCGGGCATTTCCACTGGACGGAGGTCGCCGGCTGAGCTCATGTTGGCAACGCTATGCAGAGAGGCTGGTCTGCCCTCAAAGAATGTACAGATTAACCAGCAGCAGATGAAAATAGCAGCAGGCGGGCGGATGTTGGAGGGCAAGGTGCTCCCAGGCCACCATTCCCACGTCTGGGTATGAACGCCTGGTAGGATTTCAGGTCCCAGTTGGGTGGGGAGAAGCTGCAAACGCCAGGGCCGAGGACCTGCCAAGCTCATCGGGCGGATGAAGAAACAGTGGCTCAGAGGGGCTAGGGGTCTGCTCAAGGCCACACAGCAGGCAGGGGACACTGTGACTAGAACCGAGGGCCGTCATGGTCATGGTCCTCTGCTCCTGCTCCTCAAAGTCCCATGAGCAGGAATGAGATGCAGGGCATGGAGGGTAACAGGCTCGACCTGCCTGCTGGGGGAGGGGGCGGGACATTTTGAAGGCAGAGGGTGGGAGAAAGGGGGGGCTGTGCCAGGAAGCCCGCGAGCCCAGTTCCCTGTTCTCTCTCTGTTCCAGGCCCCAGCCCGATGGGCTCGCGTCACAGGCCACCAGGGACTTGTCTCTGCCTTGGCACCAGCCCCAGACCCTGCCTGGGCTTCTGGGAAAGCGGAAAGTAGCCTGGACTCCATCCGAACACAGTGCTTTCCAGAAACTCCAGCCACCGTCCCTCACGCACCTTGAAGTCGGGGTGTTTCCCGCTTCTGTTCCAGTGGTCGGGCCGTCCGTGCAGTCCTAATGCCCAGGGACGTGGGTTCCCGGGACAGGCCACGGCTCTCGGCGTAGGCCAGCCAGAGGCTCCCTCCGAGACCTCCCGAGTCAGAAACCCAGGGGCGAGTCCCCGTGGACTCAACGATCAGACAGGTTTGGGGCCCACTGGACCAGCCTGGGGCCGGGGCTCTGGCTCACTGCTGTCCCTCAATCACCCTTCACCTGGCCTTGCTGTGGGGACCGGCAGGCACTGCAGCGGCGAGGGGGGCTGCCTGGCCCAGGCCCACTGCCCAGAAACTAGCAGGCCCGGGCACAGCTCCTGGAGAAAACCCAGCAAAGGGCTCTCCCGTAGCAGGGGGTGCGAGGCTTCCCCTGGACCAGAAACCGGAGGAAGGGTGGAGAGAAAGGAGCCCGCTGAAGGACAAAGGCAGTGAGAGCGAATCATGGTGATTAATTATCTCTGGAGGCCAAGCAGAGATCCCAGAGATCTCCCTTCTCCCTCCTCCTGGATCTGCCAGCACAGAGCCGACCCGACTTTCCTGTTCGGTGACTTTTCATCTCAGGTGGAACGAATGTCTTGTTTTCATCCCTGAAGAGGTTTTTGATCTTGTCTTGTCTTGAGTTGAAATAAAGAGAATCTAGGGCACTGAGGCTGCACAGCTGGGCACTTCTGCCCTGCACCCCACACCACCAGGGCCATCTCTGTCTCCCTTGATGACCGAAAGCCCCAGGCTCTTATCCTAGTCCCCAAACTTCAGTCTCTGGGACTCAGTGGTGTATCTGGTCCAGAGCAGATGCTCAATAAATACAGAAGGAAAAAAAGACAGGATGGGTGAGTGGATGGCGGAAGGAAGGGTGGAAAGGAAGGACAGACAGAGATGGACAGACAGGGTGACAGTATCTCTCTTATCCAGACTTCTTCCTACTCCCTAAGGGGGGGGGGGAGCACCACTCTGAGACATAGCCCCGTAGCTGGAAAGCCCTCTACTGCCTCGTGCCTCCTCCAAAGCGCCCAGAAACCTCAGCAGGTCTCTCCCCGGCCCTTCGGCTGTTCTGTGAGCAGTTCATCCACTCAGTGACCCCGTCCTCACGAAGCCACTTCCGCAGGCGGAGCCTCTGCTGGTAGATGAGGCAGAGAGATGAGCACGACCTGCCCGTCCCCAGAGCCTCACAGCTGAGCAGTCCCAGACACAGGCACCGCCTGTGACCACGCAGGGCAGTGCTGCTAGAAGAGGTGACGGGACGTGGGCAGGAACCTGGCTGGGCTGAGGGTGGGGGTGGCTCAGGCCGAGGAACCCAGAGCCCCTCATTCCTCGAGGGTCCCTGGAAGCTTTGCTCTGGTCCCTGGATAAGTGCTCGGGCCTGGGCGGGGAGCAGCCGCAGGGTGAGGAGCAGCTGGAGCAGGGAGCACTGGAAGGCGGAGTGCCTACCCCTTAGAGCTGCTGCAGCGATCAGCGGGCGGAAGCGGCGTGTCTAGGACGGTCCGGGTTCTGAGCTCAGGCACAGGGTCAGGTGTTTCCTATCTCAGGTGAGTCCTGCTGTTTCCAGCCCCACCCCCCCTCCAGGCCCTGTGAGCATGCTGCAGGCCTCACACACGGGCTACGGCCCTGGCGTCCCGCAGTCCCCCCCTTCCTCCCCCATCACTGTCTACGCGGCGGTCTGCAGCTAGCACTGCCCACCTGTGCATTCCAAAGAAAGCCAGCTTCCCCCTCAGACCATGCATGGGGCCGGCGCTGGCACCCCTCCTCTGAGCCGCTGTGGGGAGCCCAGACTACAGGGAGGTGTGTTTGTGTAGGAACCCGCCTGTCCCTAGGGAAGGTGAGTCCTCAGGGACCTGGGGGGCCATTGTAGGCAGGATTCAAAGAAACAGAGAGGCTTCCCGACAGAAGGTCTGAAGCCCAAGAGAACCCTTTGCTACTCTGGGTGGCGCAGCCACCAACCCCAGGCAGGGGCTGGGGCAGGTACGGGGTGGGGGGAGGGGTGGCGCAAGAGAAAACCCACTTTGTCCATGAAAAAGTTCCTCACTGCCTGTGATAGCAAAACCCACAGAGAACAGTGTCCCTATGCAGGAGCCCACAGTGCCACTTGCAGCACCGCGACCCGGTGGACTGGCGCAGAGTAAAAACGCTGAAGTCTGTCTATCGATCTGGAAAGTGTATAAGCTTAAAAAAATCAAACTATGGAATGGTGCATGGGACACGATCCTATTTGGCAATAAAACATAAATACCCAAAAGGATATACCTTCATGGCGAAAGGACTTCTGTGTTTCCAGTTTTTACAGAGTAGCTGCATATTGTTCAAGTTATAATTAGCTACGTTTCCAGCAGACTGTTGCAGCGGGAGGCAGGGCTATGGTGGCAGAACATCTTTCTCAGAACTGTGAAGCCGCAAAAATAGAAAGTTGAATAGGAAAACCACGCATGAAATGGAAAGCGACCGCGAGAGGACAGTAAGTGAAAGAACAGGGTGGAAGGCACATGCACTGACGTCTGCAGGATCCGTGGGACAGGGACGCACAGAAACCCCACCAACAGGAGGGCGGGGTGTCGGGATGGGCCAGGTGAGGGCCTCTTCTATCTTTAAGCGCTTTCCAATGGTACAATAACTCATCTTGTCCTTAATCGAGACCAGGTTTAAAAGACAAAGGAAAGCCAGGCCGGTCCCTGCTCAGGCTTTGTGCCGGCCGCTTCCGACCTTCCAGCAGCCCAGCAGCGGGGCAACAGCGCCCCACTGTGGCCCCGGCAGGGAGGACGCCGGAGCCAACTCCAGAAGGCGGCGGGGGTGGGGCGCCGGCTCAGCTGGGATGCTGGGCTGCAGCATCTGCAAAACACAGAACGCTCCCGGCCAAAGGACAGGGTGGGCAGCACTGTGCAAGAAAGCCAACAGGCCCCCCTGGGTGTCCCGGGAGGGGCAGGGGAAACCTGACTTCCAGGTGATACTGCCACACACAAGGCTCTGGGCAAGTCCTCACTCAACTCTGTCCCTAATTTCCCCACCTGTGAACGGAGGCCGACTCCAGGGCCTGCCCGCTCTGCCTGCTGAGACCGGAATCGGAGGCAGTGCCGGGAGGTGGCACCGGGTCCTGACTGCTGTTGACGGGTGAGTGAATCTGGGGGAGCTACTAGACTAAATTCCTCAGACACAAAATGAGGCTGTGCCGGTGTCGGTGTCCAGTTCCAAACCCAGATTTACAGTGGACTTGAAAGCAATGAGTGCATCTTAAAAACAAAAAAGAGAGAAATAGAATGGAAAATACTTATTCATGTAAATCCCGATCATTTCCCAGCATTTACCACTCTCTCAAAGAACATTTGTTGTCATGGCTCCTGGTGAGGTGACCGCGCTGCTGTCACACTGGTCACTGAAAGAAAAACTGGCGGAAGGTCTTGAGACTCTGGGGTCTCTTTTGGTGCTAAGCTTTCCTAGGGTTCAGAAGCGAGGCGGTGCAGGGGACAGGTGGTCCCAGGACAGCTGACGCATTGTCTGGCAATCTGCTCCTGGAGCAAGGAGGGTATCCAAAGCGGCCATGCCAACCCCAAAGAGCATTTTCCTATCCAGAAAAGGAGCCACTTTGCTAAGCATGTCCTTCAGCCAAAGGCTGGCACCAGCTGCCATCTCAGTTTGGCACTGTGTGTGGTATCTCGGAAGAGCAGAGAGTATGAGTTCAAACAAAGCCCCCGTCTTACCAAAACAAAGCCCAAGAAGGGCCTGTGGGTTGTGCAAGGCTGATAAGGAGGGGCTATGCCACCTTTCTCCTGGCATAACCTGGCCACCCTCACGGATGCCCTCACAGGGCTGCTCACTGGCTCCAGGACCGGGCTGGCCGCGGAGAGCAATAGTGCCCAGGACCTGCTGCTCCAGTGCCATCTCCCTGAGCACTGGGCACCTTCCCGGAGGCTGAATCCTCTTCTCCTCCAGGCAGGTCTCACAACCACCCCACAGCCGTCAGCCATGCCTGCCCTCATGCCCACCCTGTGTGCCCACACTGCACACCCCACCAGCAGGCACGGTCAGTGGAGAGCCGGCAGGGCTGCCTGCCCTCATGCCCACCCTGTGTGCCCACACTGCACACCCACCAGCACACACGGTCAGTGGAGAGCCGGCAGGGCTGCCTGCCCTCATGCCCACCCTGTGTGCCCACACTGCACACCCACCAGCACACACGGTCAGTGGAGAGCCGGCAGGGCTGCCTGCCCTCATGCCCACCCTGTGTGCCCACACTGCACACCCCACCAGCACGCACGGTCAGTGGAGAGCCGGCAGGGCTGCCTGCCCTCATGCCCACCCTGTGTGCCCACACTGCACACCCACCAGCAGGCACGGTCAGTGGAGAGCCGGCAGGGCTGCCTGCCCTCATGCCCACCCTGTGTGCCCACACTGCACGCCCACCAGCAGGCACGGTCAGTGGAGAGCCGGCAGGGCTGCCTGCCCTCATGCCCACCCTGTGTGCCCACACTGCACACCCACCAGCACAGCACGGTCAGTGGAGAGCCGGCAGGGCTGCCTGCCCTCATGCCTACCCTGTGTGCCCACACTGCACGCCCACCAGCACAGCACGGTCAGTGGAGAGCCGGCAGGGCTGCCTGCCCTCATGCCCACCCTGTGTGCCCACACTGCACACCCCACCAGCACGCACGGTCAGTGGAGAGCCGGCAGGGTTGCCTGCCCTCATTTCTCACATTGTGTGGTTGCACGGGCCCTGCCTGGTTTCTCATCGGCTCAGACAGGGAACAGGACCTGCAAGGCCTCCCTCATCTGTGACTGCACTTCAGTGAATCTCATGACAGCAGACAGAGTGTCGTCCGGGTGTGTGGTTTGATTCTGTGCGGGTGCTGGGGAAGACAGGGCTGCAGAAAGAGCTAAGCACTAACACCTCTGTGAACGCGATCTTCGCAAGGGCCCCAAGGCCATCATCACCCTATTTCTGCTTTGGAAAATGAAGAGAAGGGGTATGTTTTCAGGGCAACATGGCTGGTAAATGGCAGAGCCGGGATTCAAACCCAGGCAGTCTGGCTCCACAGTCCAGGATCTTACCCTCGGTTCGAATCCCAGTACCATCATTTCCCAGCTATCTGATCTGAGGCAAGGTGCTCGGCCTCAGTTTCTTCAGTCTGTAAAATGGGATGATGAGAGTGGCATGCAGGGCATCAGTGGACACGGTAAGCAAAGTGCGGCGCACAATGCCCAGCTCCAAGCAGGTTCCCACCTTGTTTCTTGCACGTTTGGGGCTCTGGGTGGCTGACTCCCTCTGTTCCCCTTATCTCCTAACTGGGGGGTCCTGCCCAAACACCTCAGCCTGTGCCCATCGGGACTGGGGGCTTGGGAGCAGATGTCTGGCCCTCCAGTCTCATCTAGCCTGTGGCCTCCTCCCGAGCACAGTGTGGGCTCAGGAACGGCTCCCCGAAGGCAGTCAGGAAAGGAGAAGGAGCGAGAAGGGGACCGATGCAGGGCACCATCCAGAAGGGACCACCAAGACCATGGCCGGCTCGCCTCTTCTCCAGCCAGTGCGTGTGTATGTGCGTGTGTGTGTGTGCGCGTGCACATGTACAAAGGGGACACACTCCCCTGGCCAGGGACGTTGGGCTCACTGCACCCCCTTGAATCACACGACTTATGGGTCATGAGTTCCTTCTACCCATGTGATTCATGGGAGTCTTGCAACCAGCCTGCGGGGAGGCAGGGCCAGACAAACAGCCCTGCTTCACAGACCGGGAGAGCCCGCGGAGCTAGCTCCAGTCACACGCCTCAGGTCACAGGATGCCATGACGAGCTGGCCGGGTGGGTTCAGGCAGCCTGGGCTTCTGAGCTGTCAGGGGGCAGCTCTGCGGGGCCTCAGTGCAGAGCCAGGGAGTGGCAGTGGGGGGCCACCCTGTGACCAGGAAGGAACAGGTGATACCTGAGCCCAGCCACAAAACAAGGTGACGTGGAGGGTGAGGGGGCAGCCAGTTCCCCAGCATACAGGCCAGGCAGGGCCATGGCCCAGAGATGGAGCTTTCTGACTCCCAGCAGGGAGGGAGGAGCCGTCCCCAGAGAACCGGAACCAGCTGGAAGGAGGGGCTCCCCAGAACGGGCAGACCTACCGCATGATGCCCAGAGGGTCCAGAGCCTCTTCCTCTTCAGAGGACTTCCCTGCATCCTCATCCTTCTGGCCTGGGGTGGGCGGTCCCTCCGCTCCTTTCTGCTGCTGGAAGAAGTCAAAGGCCTCCCCATCGTCCCCTGCTTGGCTGGCTGTGTCCAGGACCGAGACATTCCTGCTGGCGAGGTCTGCAGCGCCCGGGGACCTGGTACCTGTGAGGGAGCAGAAAGAGGGCATCGGACACCATTGCCAGGGGAGTTGCCACACCCAAGCCCCTGTGCCGGGACCTGAGGGCTTCCTGCGCAGTCCTGGGACAGGACAGAGGATCTGGGGGGAGGGGGACAGCTAGGGCTCCAAGTGCCGGCTGGTGGCCCAGCAAAACCTGGAGTGGAGCAGTGACAGCGGGAGCCTCAGAGCACTACGCAGGCCACAGTTCCCGGACCTCTGTGGCCCAGGGCCTGCGGAGCCTCGTTCTGAGCCAGGGGAGACCTCGGGGTTTGGGGCAGAGTCTCAGGCACCTAGGAATTCTAGCAGCTCTGGGCTGCTGGCCAGCTCAGAGTCCTGGGAGACACAGCGCAGAATCTCGTTGAACACGGCTCTCCTTTCCCGGATGTCAGACTCCCCGACGAACAGGACCTTCCTGGGGAGCGGAGGGAGGCTGGCCGCTGGGTAACGGCTGCTCAGCTTCTGGTAAAGCTCCTCAATCTCACTGTACTTTTTGGAGACCTGGACGAGAGAAGCATGTCCTTTCCTGAGGGCAGAAGGAGAGAAAGCTCCCCCTCTGACCCCAACCAGTGGACCCGAGGGCCAGCAACGCAGAGTCCTCCTCCTGAGCAGCCGTCACAGGACATGTGCCCTGGACGTGCCTCCCCCTGGCCCTCTGTCCAGCTGCCTGTCTCAGGCTCCATTCCTTAACCCTCCTACTCAGGCTCAATTATGAACGTCTAAGTGGCCCAAAGGAAAGGTTCGGTCATGGTGGGCCCTGGGCACTGTCATAGGTCCAGGTAGAGACTTTTGATATAGGGACCCCAGTTTGCAGGTGACCATGGCCATCACTTCCATTCTAGGCTTCAGTGCGTTAGTGACATGACCTCACAGTGTGGCTAGCCGTGAAGTCATCTTTCTGAAACTAAATTCAACATTTGGATCTACACCACTGGAAGGCGGCTGCTAATTCCCAGGAGAAGGATTCAGAGATCTCTGCCCTCAGCCAGGACCCGTCTCCAGGAAGCAGGCCAGGGCTCCTGCTGGCCTTTACACGGTGATGCTGGGCCATCGAGTCACCCTGGGGCAGTGCCCGGCCTCCCATGGGACCAGCGTCTGATGGCAACCGCCCCTCAGCCTCTGTCCAGAATTCCTATGGCAGCTGAGGTCTCACTCATTCACCGATCACGCTCCTGCTGCCTGTCCACTCTGTATGAGGACAGCCCAGTATGTCCCTGCCCCACGGGCCGCCATGGTACAGCAGATAGTGCCATCGTCGTTGCCTGTGTGACCCAACGTGGGCACTCAAAGAACAGTCACTTGCTCGGCACCACACCCCCCAGCAGCCCAGCATCCTCCCTCGGTCCTGGTCTCCTCTGCTTTCCCCGTATGCCGGGCCTGTGTCCCCACCTTCTCTGTGGGAGCATCGAGCACGAGGACGTGGATATTCTCACTTCTACTCCCAGGCAGGGCTGCGCCTGCGGCCCCTGCTGAGATGCTGGCATGGCTGGTGGACTGCCGGGCATCCGGTGCAAACCCAGCAATCCTGTTGCACAGCTGTGTTGGAGCACACAGCCCTTGCCAACCAGCATAATCACCAGAACCCTAGGAGGGCCCCGGATGTCAGCGGGTCGTTGGGACACTGGGGGACCTCAAGACCCCGCATGGAGAATCGTCTGGGACAGGGGCCTGCGTCCTGCTCTGGAGCCACCCTGAGAACAGCCCTCAGGGAAAGGAAGAGGATCCTTGCGCAGAAGTGATGCAGGCTCCCACCCCCAGGGGTCCTGAAAGCTCTAAAGCCGAAGCCCCATCCAGCAGAGCGGGTCAGGTGGGGGATGAGCGCCCTCTGCTGGCCAGATGAGTCCACACAGCCGGGCCCAAGCCCACCAGGATCTGAGTTCTGGGACTAGAGGGGGCTAAGGGAGAGGAACTGGAGCTGGGGTGGGAACTCCGTTTCCTGGTGCCCTGGTGGGCCAGGCAGACAGGATCACTACCCCGCATCCTTCTGATATCAGTGTGTGTGCAAGGCCAGTAGAGGTAGGGGTGTCTGCTAAACCACAAACAAATATAGTGCTCTTCCCAGGGCTGGCTTAATCCGTGCTTTGCAATTAAATTAATTTTTATACTAAAACATGTGTCCTTTTGAGGAGTAAGATGCAAAATGCTCTTTTTTTTTTTTTTTTGGCTAAATCATGAAACTTCAAAGACATTCCTGGATCTCATGGGAAGTAAATGTGTCCTCCTTTACCTCAACTGTGCACGCACACCCCACAGGGTAAGGGGGACACGGGTCAGGAGACAGTGGCACAGGTGTGATGCAAGGTGTTAACGACGTCCTCACGCACACCCTCGCGCACACCCTGGCATGGGAAGCTGGTCCTTTGCACAGGACCCAGCAGGCAGGCCAGGTGCTCCTCAGGGATCCGGGAATGCACCCCTCTGTGATGCCCAGGGACCTGGACCTCAGATATCCCTCCTCTCCTGTTCCTGACCCTGAAGACGCAGCTGCGGTGAGCTCCACCCTGGGTCAAGTCAGATCACCAGGGGCTGCCAACCACCCCACGGAGCAAAGCAGACGAGAACCACCACTGATGTTACACTGTGGTTCTCAAGTCAGTCCAAGAGCCCTGGACGGTTTCTCAGTGGTTAGAGCACAGGCCCGCAGATCAAAGGGTCGCAGGTTTGATTCTGGCCAACGGCACGTACCTGGGTTGCAGGTTTGATCTCCGGCCAACCTGTGGCCAGGTCGGGATTGTACAGGAGGCAACCCATCGATGTGTCTCTCACATTGGTGTTTCTCTTTCTCTCTCCCTCCTTTCTGCTCTATCCAAAAATCAATGGAAAATATCCTCGGGTGAAGATGAAACAAACAAACAAAAGCCCAAGAAGCAAGTAAAAAAACATCAGGCTTTGAGATGCTTCCCATGATGTGTTGAATGTCCCCTAATAGAAGATTTGTGCCATACATTCTTTTTTTTTTTTAAATCCTCGCCTGAGGACATTCTTCTGTTTTTTGTTCAGATAGACTGGGAGGGAGGGAGAAGAAGAGAGAGAGAGAAAGAGAGAAACATCGATGTGAAAGGGACACATTGAGTGGCCGCCACCTGCATGACCCCAACTGGGGCCGGGGACAAACTGCAACTGAGGTGCGTGCCCTTAGCGGGAACCGAACCCAGGTCTCTCTGGACTGCGGGCCGATGCTCTAACCACTGAGCAAACCAGCCAGGGCTCAAGTCTGCTCTAACTGTGCCCAGATGAGGTCATTCAGCGTCTCCCTCTCTGCCGGCTGCCGGGAGATTAGAACGCTCACGTAAAACCTGCAGCCGCTGCTCAGCTGGAGCCCGGGCTCTTGCTCATCCCCTTCCATCTAACAGTCCTGTGGCCTGTCTCTGCTGGTCTCAGCTCTGGGCTCTTTTAGAAGAAGCCAAAGGTAAAAACAAATGAGTTTGTGATCTCTCTCCCTTCTCTCTCTCTCTTTTTAATCCTCCCCAGAGGATACATTTTTTATTTTTAGAGAGAGAGGAAGGGAGAGAGAGAGAAACATCAATGTGAGATCAGTTGCTTCCATACCCCCCCACCCCCCCCAATCAGGGATCAAACCTGCAACCTAAGTATGTGCCCTGACTGGGAACTGAACTCACAACCTTCTGGGGTATGGGACGATGCTCGAACCAAATGAGCCACCCAGCCAGGGCTCTCTCCTCTTCCTGAAATTCCGTCCTCTCTCGGCCCCCGTGACTCCATGATGCTCCCTTCCCTTCCTTCAGCCTCTGGGAGGCTCTTCCTTCTCCCTGACCGTCCCTGAGCTGTGGAATCCCCAGGATTCCCTCCGCAGCCCTCCCGCCGTGCTCCACATCCATTTACTGGGCACCTTCATCCACTCACGGACTTTTCACATCACCTCCAAGCAGATGCCTCTGAAACGGGCCCGACCCTGTCCTGCTCTCCATCCTCGAGGGTCCGCTGGGCAGACACTGCACACTGGCCACGTCCCCGAGACCTGCCTCTCCACCGGCGCTCTTTATCTCAGCGTGTGGAAGCAATCGGTCAGGAATCATGTGCATGCTACCTTGGAACTACTTTCAACTCTCCCCGTCCGTTCCACGCAGGGCAGGGCCCACTCCCAGCCCCACCGAGGGCATCACTGCATTAGGCTCATAACTGGGCTCCCTGCCTGTTCCCACCAACCAACCCCATCCCCCCCAGCCCGCACGAGAGAGGCCAGGCTTACACGCCCTGCATGACCTGGATCGCACCCTCATCTTTTCCCACTTCAGCCAGGACAACACCCACCCACTCACAGCTCCCCACCCAACACCCCGTTTCTAGCCTCCGAGCCTTCCCTAGATGGTGCCCTCTGCCTGGAGCCCTGTCCCCACTTCTGCGGCCGCGCGTCCCTACCGACTCTGAAACAGCTCGGTCCTTCAGTCTCTAAGTCTTCCAGCACCCTTCCCCTAGGGAGGGCTAGGTGCCCCTTTTCTATACTCCCACAGCCCCCGATGTTCCTGCCACCTCCTGTCTCTTCACAAGTCTTTCTCCCTGCGGACTGTCCACCACTGTCCCTCGGCCCGGAGCTGAGCCCTGGTGCTCTCAGGCCCTGAGTGAGGGTTGGCTGCAGGAGTGTCCGCTCCAATGCTTCTCGTACCCTGGCGGCAGGTGTGTCTGCCCACTGGACCCCTGAACCCTGAGCACCCTCGGGCGCATCCTGGCAGAGCCCCGGCTCACCAGGAACTGGACCACATCCTCGGGCCTGTGCTTGGCCAACTTGAACGCAGCCAGCCGGGTGACCACCAGGATCTGGTACTCCACGTGGCCGGACATCATCTTGCCCCGCACCTCCTGGTGCTGCGGCACGGCCAGGTCGAGGCCTGTGTGGACGTTCTGCACTCGTCTGCCAAAGGGAAAGAAGGCAAAGGACGCTCAGGTCCAGGTCGGCAGGTTTCTCAAGCGAAACGCAGGCAGGACCTCGTGGTGGCTCTGAGGACCCAGGTGCGAGGACGCGCCCCTGGCTGTCCTCGGTGGTCACGGCTCCAGGCCCTCATAAAGCCTGGCTTCCCAGGCCCGAGCCCCGTCTTTGGGTTGCTCATGGACAAAGGGCTGTTTCCAGCAGGGAAACATGTGAAAGCAGAAAAAAGTGGGGCTTGTGGAAAATCACAGACAACTAAGCCTCTTACACAAGCTCAGCGCTCAGCCTGCTGCAGGACTTGTGGGGTGGCATCCTGGGGGCTCTGGCTCTGCACATGCAGGAGTGAAACCCCACCGGAATCTGCAGAGACCCACATCTCTCCAGCTGTGCAGAGAGCAGCAGAGCCCCTACACACCTGCCCAGCGGGGAGGGCAAGGAGGGCACCGGACACAGGGCCTCCGTCCCAGGTCCCCGAGAGGCACTGGAAAGCCACGGTCAGCAAAACAGCGCAGCTCTTGGAAAATCTGTAAATGCTACGCAAACATACTGAATTGTACGCAGGGCAAAGGCGATATGAAACATTTTCTCTGAAGTTAGAAAAAAGCTAAATGCGCCCTGTGTACAGGTGATGCAGACCCGTGCACACAAACACCTACGACAGGACGCGTGGGGCTGTTTTCATCAGGATGGAGCCCTACTGTGTGCCAGGACTGTTTTCATCAGGATGGAGCCCTACTATGTGCCGGGCAGGACTTCCAGAACACAAGGGGAGGCCCTAATGGGGAGCAGAGCTTCGGGGTTAAAACTGTGCCTGGGGCAAGGCCCCCTCCCTCTCTGGATTACATCCCAATCCATCAGGTGACACCCGCCCCCCTCCTTTCACACAGAGTTCTCCCATGTCCACATCAGTATATGACAGTCACCAACATGATGCCGTCTGTCACCAAATGGGGACAACTGCCAGATGCCGATACATGCAGTGTGTATACACATCCACTGACCATACAAACTTCTACACACTCAAACACCTGATGAGTATAAGGCACAGTGATAAATACGAATCACTTTGGCGAGAGGGGAAAACGCACCAAACAAATCAGCTGTTTTCCTTTCGCCAGTAACCACATAAGCGTTCCTTACACTGAGTATACCCCAGGCTGCTCCTGATGGTGCACACGGTGTTACTGTCAGGAGCGTGGGAGGGCGAGGCAGGACTAAGGGTTAAAGGTGGGTGTGAGCTTGGCTGGCACTATTGCAGCCTCTGCCCTAAGGACCTTGCCTGTCCGTCACTCAGCCTCCCGCAGCCTACAAGGGCCCTGCCACTTAGACCCGGTGAAAGACAGGGAACCAGGCACAAACAGGGGGTTGCTGGCTCATGGTCTCAGCAGGTCAGAGGCAGAGGCAGGGTTCACTCCCAGACAGTTCCTCCCACCGCCACCTCACTGCTGACTGGCACCTCCTGCTGGTACCAGGCACAGAGTAGGCCCTCAAGAAAGATCTGCTGGTGGATGAAGGTGTGAGCATACGTGGTGCTGGTGGTGGGAGGCTGGCCTTCCCGCTGCCCTTACCCTGGGGCAGGTCCTCAGGTGTGCTGGTGCCTGCCAGCGAGAAGCAATGGGCACCACGAACCTGGCCTTCGCCACAGGTTCCTGTCTGTGAACAAGCCCTGTCCGTGCAGGTGGGGCTGGCCGTACCTGCCAATCTCAAACTCTGATCTTACAGAAAAGGAAACAGGCTCAGCGAGAGGGGGTGACTTATGTGACACCAGGGAGATCTCTCTTGCCAAGGAAGCCGTGACCTGCAACCTTGCTGTATTATGCAGAGGAGACTAAGCCAGTTCTCACATCAGGTTTTACTTAAAGAACCCTGTTTTTCTAGACCTGGAGTCACAGGGAAGTTTGGTTACAGCTGGAAAAATAACAGGTGCACTGGGTAACACATTCATTTATGTAATAAAATTGATGTCTTTGCCCGAGATTTTATGTAGAGGGAACAAGGGTGGAGTATATGAAAATACTTGGAGTCACTTGACAGATGTTGGAAGGGGGAAAGCAGAAGCAGAGTAAAGCATGTCCAGGCCAGCCTCTCCAGGTCCACCTGCACTGGGCCCTCCAGGCCTGGCCCGGGGGGGCGGCGCTGCACCCTCCACTCCAGCCCTCCCCAAGGCCTTTCCCGCAGCGTGCCCTTCTCCAGAGCCACCTCCTTGAGCAGCTGCCCCTCTTCCTACCCCTTCACTGGGTAACGTCCACTCTCCCTGCAGGACGTAGCCTCATTCGTCCCCCACCCCACCCCCAGAAGCCTGGGCACACGCCTGCACTGCGTTCCCATGGCAACCGGAATTTACTACCCCTCCCAGCATCTGTCCCTTCGGGTCTGGGTTCAGCTCCCTGTTTCCCCCGAGGGCTGGGCCTTGCCGATTCACCCCGTCCCCAGTGCTGGGCACCTGGCCTGGCACACGGTGAGCGCTGAAGGGAGGCAGAACTAGCCGGGAAGGGGCGAGGAGAGCCCTCTTCCACTGGGTCCTGGGTGAGCTAGCTGCCCTGTAGGGCCTTCAGTGTGTAGAACGGGGACCCTCGATGTCGCCCACCTCTTCTGCAGGGCGCTGGAGGGGCCGAGCACAGATACCCGGCCAGAGCGCGGCAGGGGCTGGACGGCCGGGTCACCCCGGGGGCCGCGTCTCCTCCTGCTGCTCCGCCCGGGCGCATGGGGCCGCGCTCGAGCGCACCGGGACTCCACAAAGCGAAATTCGCGGCATCGGGACGCCGGGGTCTGCTCACCTGGAGGTGACGAGCACCGGTGGGGACTGCATGACGGCCGCGGCTGGGGCGGGGCGCGCTGTCACGGGACCCGCGGGCGCCGGCGTCGCCGCGTCCCCGCCCTGCGCGCACAGCGGCTCGGCACGGGCCCGCCCCCTAGTGGCCACCGCGCTGGCCCGGAGGCGGACGTTCACTCACAGGCCCCTGACCGCCCCGCCCTGTGCTCCCGCGCCTGGGGCTGGCCCAGCGTCCGGAGTCCACAGAGTGGCCAGGGGGTGCGCAAGGGCAGGGAGCCTGTGGGCCACGCAAAGTCTTGATTTGCACCTGTTGTCCTGGCGTTACTAGTAATGTGATTGACCAGAGTCCCTTCACCCTGGGAGCGGGCAGCGCCAAACGTTAAACACGGAGAAATGCAGTGAAGAAAGATTGGCTATTTTATTATGAGTGGCGCCACCCAGGAGAATGGAAGGTTAATGCTCAAAGGCCTGAACTCCCTCACGGCCTGTAGGTTACAGATTATATAGGGCAAAATCACAGGACACTGTGGTTAGGGGGTTGCGGTCTTGGGGTCCTGCTAGGAGCTAAGTGGTGGGAGGTGCAGTAAGGGTAATGCATAGTTTCCTTAGGTCTCGAGGTCAGTTTTGACTGTCTCAGCATCTCTCTGCCTGGTTTCATGGGAACTCTGGGGGGTGGGGGGTGGCCTGGGAGTCTTTTCACCTTAGGGTCCAGAGTTGAAACATAATTTAGGTCAAGATGTTAATCTTGCCCTGGACGGTTTGGCTCAGCGTTTAGAGCGTTGGCCTGCGGTCCAGAGAGACCCGGGTTCGGTTCCTGCTAAGGGCACGTACCTCAGTTGCAGTTTATCCCCAGCCCTGGTTGGGTCGTGTGGGTGGCGACCACTCTATGTGTCCCTTTCACGTCCATGTTTCTCTCTCTGTCTCCTCCTCTCTATCTGAACAATAAATGAAAAAATGTCCTCGGATGTTACTCTTGCCCTAGCCAGGTTCTCAGTTGGTTAGAGCATCTTCCCCGTACTCCAAGGCTGCAGGTTCGATCCCTGGTCAGGGCAGAAGCAACCAATCAATGCATAAATAAATGAAACAACAAATTGATGATGAAAGAAAGAGAGAGAGAGAGAGAGAGAGAGAGAAAGAAAGAAAGTTATCTTTAGCTTGCCAGAGGTCTAGACCTTGCAATCATTAGTCAGATCCAGGCCACCGTCTTCTGCTGCCTCGGGGGGTTGCTGCTTATCCAGGAGAAAGGCTAGGTCTCTGAGGGATATATGTATTGAGCTAGGATTTCTAGAGCTAGGATTTAAAGCTAAATTTAATCAAAGCCATAAGTTTGTTGGTTTCACGTGTAAGAGTGCCCAGAGTGTCCTGGTTCAAAGGGTAAATTATTTGGTCCCCCTGCCTGGGGCATAGTGTTGGGGAAACAATGTAACCAGTGCTCATGACAAGGGATGGTTGGAGAGATGTTTGGAGGGTCAAATGGGTAACATATTACCCAGCAAACAAGATAAACTAGACCTCTTTGTGGGGGGTCAGCTAAAGAAACAACAGCCCGACTCCAGAGGCCTTCCAGTGAGTGGCTTTCCTGAAAGAGGCCAACAGGGACTTCCCAACAAAAGCTCTGAAAACTGTGTCTTTCTTCTCCTCTGCTTAAAAAAAAAAGTTATGTTGACACTTGTTAAAAAGGTGAGGAAGACTGTATTCAAGACTATTGCAGTAGGAGAGAGAGAAGGCCCGACTCTGAACATAGCAAGGACAAGAGGAGACAGAGCTTCTGCTTGACTGCATTTTCCCGAAGACACACAGACACAGCGACAGGTGGACAAACACACACACCCATCAGCGTGGCTTGACCTTCGGTGTGAAGAGCTGAGCCTGCCCCTCCCTCTACCTCTACTCTGCCCACCTGTTTTTCAGCCTCATACATTTGGGGCATTTTTCTGTGCCAGGCACCCAGCCTAATTCAACCTTATACTAGGGGAAAAGCAACCCATGTGAGGGTGTATCATAATTTGTTTCATCATTACCCTGTTAAATGCCAGTTTGATCATTTTCAGTTGTCACAATTACCTCCATTTTCACAATCCTTGTATATCTTTATCTTCACTTGCATGAATATATCTATAACAAATTAAATTTATGTAAGTGAAAATGCCTAATCAAAGGATTTCTTTCCTTAAAATGATGCTGTCACATTGCTCTTGGAAAATCTCTATGGACTTACATTCCTACCAAGGGTATATAGAATAGCCATTTGTCCATTCTTTCACCAAACATGCATTTATCTCCTCTGGTTTTACTAACCTGAGAGGTAAAGAAAAATGGTATCTTATTTCTTTCTTCCTTTCTTTTATCCTTACCTGAGGACATTTTTCCATTTTTTGTTCAGATAGAGTGGAAGGGAGAGAGAGAGAAACATCGAGTGGCTGCCACCCACACGACCAACCAGGGCCAGGGACAAACTGCAACCGAGGTACGTGCCCTTAGCGGGAACCAAACCCGGGTCTCTCTGGACCGCAGGCCGATGCTCTAACTGCTGAGCCAAACCGGTCAGGGCTCTTATTTCTTTTTATTTGCACTGGTTTACTGGTGGCTTTTGGGGTGGATTGTCCCCTAATGTTTTCATGCATTCTTTCAGATGTGCGCCCCCAGCAATCAGGATCAGCATTTCTATCAGAGCCCTCCAACTCTTATCCAATCCAGGAAGGAGGTGTGGGAGGACAGAACCCAGCTGGGGCATTGCCCTACGTAAGCATATCATTTAGAGGTGGATCAGCTACCTAGGAAAGTGGGGAACACTTGGGGGTTCCCATGGCTTAGGGCCAAGTATCTGGCTTTGTAGGTACCCTCATGCTTTACAGGGCAGCCTCAGAGACTGGCTCCTGCAGTCAAATCTCATGGGTGCCTTTGCCATGTGGGACAGGAGACCTGAGGCCGTCACCCAATCCCATGACACCAGACTCTCTGTGATGCTCTTGCTTGGTGCTCTGCTGTGTGAGTTGAGACTTTCGATCCAAAGTCCCCATCTTCAGGGGTGGCTGCAAGGTCTCCATCCTGCACTGGGGGGCACACTTCGTGTTCCTTCTTCCCTGTGAGCCTCTGTCTTCCCAGGGGAAGACAGTCTGGCCCCCTATTCACTGTGCCTAGAACAAAGCTTCTGTCTCACCAGGATTTCACATTCTAAGAGTTACCAGTTTTTATTCCAAAAGGAGGGGTTTAAAAGAATCTTCTGAGTCAATAGGGGTCTCCCAGAAAATCTAATGGAGACATAATTCTAGAACATTCAGACTACTGATATTCACAACGGACACTTCAACAGAGGGGCCATGCCTCGAAGACAGTGGCCATACAGAGGTAACTGGGTGGACAAGTTAGGTTAATGAACCTTCCAACGGGCTAACTGGGACTTACCCAGAAAACAATAAATGCCACCGTTTACTGAGCCAGGTGCTGTGGTAAGAACGTCACCTGTTTCAAAGTCTCTTCTGCACACCCTGACCGGCAGATGGAGGCTGACAGGTTAATGACCTTAGCTTAATCAAGGTCACAAAGCATGGCAAGGGTGGTTTGGAAGACAGATCTTTACCATGACCTCTACTGTAGTCTCTTTCTTGACTTCAGTGGTGGTGTGTGGTCCTAGTCCCCTAACTTCTCACCTCTAACAACACCTTACAGCTCCAGGTAAACTGGTTCAGCCTGAGCAGTCCAGGTGCAAGAGTTCAGGAGTCTTCTCCCAGGCTTGCCGGGTCTTTGTAAATCCCGGCAGGTCGGGAATTCAGCCACATTGTGATACAACTGTCTCAACCAGTGACCAGCAGATGGCAGTGTTCGTCAGCCCTCTGCATTTATCCCAAACACACCGGCTCCCAGAGGTCCCTGTGTAACTTCAGGGAAAGAACCCACCCTGCTCCCCTCTGTGTCCCCTCTCCACCCCTCCCCCATGCAAAGGCCCAGAGTCCAATGACAGGTTGAGCCAGTGGCCTGCAGCCAACTGGGTGTGGATGCCTGAGCTGTTGCCCAGGTAACCTGGGGCAAGGCTGCCCTGGGTTGAGCATGGGAAATTTCTTGGACCCCAAGGAAACCCAGCCTGAGCATCAGACAGGAAGTGGAGCCAGAGCACTGCTGGAATCTTCCCACACCTGCGACCCAGGCCACCCATCCAGGCCTTTCTGGGACGTTTGCAGCACCTCTTAGCTGAGTGGAGATCAGTACCACCAGATGTAGTGGGGGCCAGCAGGGGTCATCACCATCTCCCCTCTTCTGCCCTCCCAGGGATAACATCCTTAGGGTCGAGCTCCAGGCTACCCTCTCTCCAGCTCTGAGTTACAAAGGCCAGGGACCATGGTGGGTCACAGAGAGAGGGCAGGCTCCTGGCTGGGTGCCTGGCAGTGGCCACATGCCCACATGCCCTCCACCTCTTACAGGTGAACCCTCAGTGGGCATTTGATTGTCAGCCTCACTGTGTATTTGAGGATCTAAAGTCAAGAAGGACTGAGGGACTTGCAGCCCGAGGCTAGAGGCAAGATTTAAATTCTAGTCACTTGACTCTCAGGAGCACCAACGAGTCACAGCCAGGGGGCATCTGTTCTATCTTCCAAAATAGTGCTTTTTTGCAGGGATCCAGACCCCCAAAAGTAGACAAGGCAGAGGCTGAGCCCTCATTACGCCTCACCTACAGGGTGCCCAGGGCAGAGCTGTGGTGAGACACTCTGAGCTGTGTGGAGAGCGAAGGCACAGGAAGGACCACAGAGGGGACCCATCATCCCAGAGGGCTGTGATGCCTAGTAACTGGGTGCTGATCACTTCCTCTCTTTGGGGACGCGGCTTCCTTATAACAAATGCAGGCTGTCTCTAAGGTACCTCCTTGTGCTCATGTCATCAGACACGAGGGGCTGGTGTCTGGATGTGGCAGGAGATGCTTGCTTGAAGCTGAGTAGGCTGCCCCTCAAGCTGATCCAAGTTCTGGTGCCTGAAGGTCACCACACGGTGACTCTAGCTGGCAGAATCCAAGACTAACTTCCTAAGTGGCATCAACTCATACTCCAGACTCATGTTCCCAGGTGGCATGTACAGTCCCACTGCAAAGCTGCCTGCGACACACATTGTGGCTCTCATGGGTCCAATAGACAACGAAAACATCTCACATTCAGAGCTATTAGAAGACTGCCTGGGGTAAGGAGCTCCCTGGACCTGCAAGTATGCAAGCACCACCCACGTAGCAATTTATTATGATTCAGGCATGGCATGGAAAGTTGCCCTAGATAACCCAAAAGTTTCTTTCAGATCCTGGAATCCTGTGACCTGAGTCAGAAACCAAATGCTAGGAGAAAGTGAACAGCTTCTGCAGGGGAAAGTGTTCTCCAAGGTAAGGATCTGGGGTGAGAAGGTGGGGACCACCCCTCCCCACCCCAGTCAAGAAATACCCCCCCACACACACACACCCCACATTCCCCACCCCTGGGGCTTTTCCCCTCTTCCCCTATTGGAGCCAAACTCACCTCCTCTCTCTGAGACAGCTGGAGTCTGGAACTCCGGAGGTTGGGGGCAGTCATCAGATTGATTCAGAAGTTAGAACTCTGTCCCCGGTTCTCTCAGCCTTCTCTGAACTTCTTGCACCTGCCTCTGGGCCTCACCAGCAGCTACCCAGTGACTAGTGACAGCTGGGGCACCACAGAGGCCAGAGAAATTTCCCTTCAAAGTGCTCTTAGCAGCACTTAGAGCACAACTCCCAGGTCTCCTTGCCACCTGGCCCACCTACCACAGGCTCCCTGCAGCCCCCAAGAGGAAGCCTCACCTGAGTCTTGGTAAGCCTGACCAGTGGTTCCTGATTTGTATGGGGGAACCTGTGGGGACGCCTGGTTGCCTGCTTTCTAACCCCGGCCCAAAGACAGCCCTGGTCATGCCAGGCCCATACCACCCTTGCTGCCCAGACTTCCCAAGCTGATCTCGGGCCTTTCTTCTCCACCCACCTGATCGGCCTGGGGTCCCCGAGGAGTGGCCCCTCACCAGGCCTCCCCTCCTGCCCCTAACATGGCCCTGTTTCGCAGTGGCCCTGTCTCCGCATTGTCCGGGACGATAGCCAGGAGTTCGCTTGGGAGGAAGCAGCCGGTGCAGGGAACTCGGGGACCTGGCCCGAGTCACCCAGGACTCCTCCGTGGAACAGTGCGGGCACCGGTGAGACTCGCAACTCCCTGGGCTTTGGATCCTGTGACGTCACACTGGCGCTGATCACCCACTCAAAGTGACCCTGACGCACCGCCCCCTTCTAGATTTGGAGTTGGGTAGCAAATGCAATATTCAAGGAAAAGGACGCGCCTGCCTGCTTCGGGGGTATACTCGGCCCAGCCCCTCACTATTGCCCGCTCCCGCACTTGGGGACGTCCGGGTTGCGAGTGGAGCTGAGCCAACACCGCCTACGACCACCCTCCCCAGCTCCTGCCTTTGAGCTGTGGCCTCAGGAACCTCCCGCTGCTGGCTGTGGACACAAGTGCCCTGCGCCCGCGTGAGTGCGCTCCGGGCGCTCCCGCCGCTGGGCGCCCCTCCAGCTACCCGGCCCCCGTAGCCGCGGGGGGAGAAGGGCAGCGGCACCGCACCCCCGGGGCTCTTCGCTGCCGCCCTCCCCGCCCCCGGCTTCTGGCTGCACCCCAATACACCCGGTAGCCCGTTTCCCTGCGCTCGGCCCCTAGAGGGCGGGCAGGTCGTCACTGTGGACGTACAGATGAACTTGAGGCGCCGCTCCCGCGCGAGTCTCCTCCTCATCCCGGCGCTGCCTTCGCGGGGTCTGTGCTCCTTCAAGATGAGCTTCCACTTACGCGCACGTTCTGCGCCCAGACCTTTGCTCTCCGGATGTCGGTCCAAGTCCATCTGTCTTGCTGGCCTTCCAGTTGGTCACTCTCATCCCTAGGGGTCCCCTTCCCGGCTCCGGCCACCAGGTCCGACCTTTGGGGGCTGTGGCAGGGTGGGGGACTGCCGAATTGGTGATAAAAAACACACATTTGTGGCAGCCCTGAGCACCCTCGTGGCCTCCGTGCGTCCCTGTGGCCTCTGTGCGCGCTGGCCACCGGGTCGCGGCGCCGTCGGGCGGGGCCGAGCCATTCCCCCGCCCCACCTCTGGCGGCTCGGGCATTCGCGGGGCAGGAGCGAGGAGAGGCGAGTGGTTCTACGCAGGACAGCAGGGAAGAAGCTGGGCGGTGGCGGGCCTGCGAGACTCCCCGGAGTCTCTAAGTCCGGAGGGCACGTTTGGCTCGGGTGCAGCGTGGGCGGAGGGAGGGTGGTGTCGAAAGGCCGTGGGGAAGGGAGGCGGGGCCCGACTTTGTGCGGGAGCCACCGGCCGGTATCACTCGCGTGTCCGGAGTAGGGACGCCGCGATCGGGGCGGGGCTGGGGGAGTGGGGCGCGAGCCTCCAGCCCTGGACTCGGCGCTAGGCAGTAGTAGGGGGCGCGGCGCTGCCACTCAAGTGTTCAGCAGGGGGCGCTGCTCCGGGCGCTGGGCGGGGGTGGGGTGGAAGAGGAGGGGGGGCCGCTGCTTGCTGCGCACACTTCCCCCATTATTAAACACTATGTTCAAAAGGCGCCGGGGGACTTCCCGGAGCCACGGAGCTCGCGCCGCCCGCCCGCCTGGCCCACGGAGCCCATGGACCTGAGCGCGGCCGCCGCGCTGTGCCTCTGGCTGCTGAGCGCCTGCCGCCCCCGCGACGGGCTCGAAGCAGCGGCGGTGCTGCGAGCGGCGGGGGCAGGGCCGGCCGAGAGTCCGGGGGGCGGCGGCGACGGGCGGACCCTCGCCGCGGCCGCGGGCACCTCTGCTGCCCCGGCCGCCGCGGCTCCCGGGGCCCGCGCTTCGCGCCACGCCACCGGCTCCGGCTTCAGGAACGGCTCGGTGGTGCCGCACCAGTTCATGATGTCGCTTTACCGGAGTCTGGCCGGGAGGGCTCCGGCCGGGGCAGCCGCCGCCTCCACCTCGGGCTCTGGCCGCCACGGCCGCGCGGACACAATCACCGGCTTCGCAGACCGGGCAACCCAAGGTACTCACGCCTCTCCTGCGCCCGTCCATCCTGTCCGGTCCTAGGCGGAGACCGCCGCCAGAGCCGGCCCCTGCTCCATTTCATTCGGGGCGCTGCCCCCGCCCCAGCCTCAGGTGTTAGAAAGAAACTTCACTGAGGCCCACGCTCCCGAACCTACTGCGCCTGGACTGTGGCGAGAGACGCGACCGCTCGCGGGGCCGGGCCCCAGGGGCTGAGTCGGCCCCTCCGTGGCGTTGCCCTGGCCCTGCGGCCGGCGGGTCCCTGGAGGAGACAGGCTGAGTCGGAGATCCAGAGAAGCCAGGAGAGTGGGTCTGGCCGAGAGGGACTGCCTAGTGGTAGTGGCGGTCTCTGCCTCTTCGTTGCAGCAACGTTAGCGGCAGCTCCTAGTCTCATGGGGGCCGTACAAATTGGGGGTAACTCAGGGGCTTGCTAGACAGAGGCAGGTTTCAGACTAAAGCAAATGGCATCCCAGAAGCTGGTGGCATCACCAGGTACGAAGAGGGCCCTTCTTGGCCGGCTGCAGGTAGGTAGTTATGTGTGCCTGTGCCTTGTGCTGGGCCCCTGGGCCAGCTGGAGGTGGAGGACTCAGGTTGGTGGGGAGGAAAGAGGGCCAACGACAGTGCAGGAATGCAGGCCTCTCCCGGACCAAGCGCCCCACCTCACTCCCCACCAGGCCCTCCAAAGGTAGGACGTGGGTGAGGCCGTGGTGATTGCTGTGTCATCTGGATTTTATTAATCTCTATTGATGCCATTAAAGCAGACAGATAGGGTAGGTTTAAATAATTTCGGCCTTAATTCTAAACAGCCAGAGGCTCAGCATGGAAGGCAGGAGAGAAAGGAAGGCAAATGGGGCTGGAAAGTAAGTGTTGCTGCAGATGGGCCGTGCCTGGGAGCAGTGATCAAATCACTCAGCCCCTCCAACACACACACACACGCACACACACACACACAGTGCCTATACACAGACTGCTTTACTTTGGGTGCAGGGATATCCTTGGCCCAATGGCCTTATAGTCCAGTGGGAACTTTTAAGCATCCTGTTAAGGGCCTGGTGTGCCCCCTAGACTGGGTGCTGGGGTACTCATAGGAAGGCTGTGTCCTGGCATACAGGCGCAGGGAAGCCCCAGCCCTAATGCTGCTGTGTGGGCTGCCACGTTATGGGAGAACTGGGGTGTGCAGGGCCCTTGGGTGACAGAAGCACCAGATGCCCGTTCTTTGGTTGAGTTAGGCCTACCTTAGCCTCAGCCGGAACTAGATCCTTTCCTGGGGGCCAGCTTGGCTGTTAGGCTGGTAAGGCTGTCTTTCCTTCCTCTCTCTGGAGGGAGGGGATGCAGTAGCAGGACCTTGAAGCAGGGAAAAACTGCAGGGCAAACGCAGTGAAAACGTTCCAGCAAGGGAGCCCAGGGGAGAGAGCAGTGCAGTTTCTGTGTGTGTTGCATGTTTGCAGGAGGGGGGTGCCTTTGCTACTGCTTCCCTCTCTATCCTGAGCCTCAGTTTGGAGCAGGGCTGCTTGAGGTCCCAGGAGGCCACTAGCAGCACCCAGACTTCGGACCTCAAGAGCCCAGGGCTTGGCGTCAGTGGTTGGTGAGCAAGAATCTCCACTGGTGGTGGGAGTCTGCAGTCTCTGTGTTTGGGGCAAAACGAAACCATATGACCCTCTTCAAAGGGAGCTCCTTATCTGCTGCTTGGTGGAATTTCAACTCTTTTTTTTCCCTGAGCCCCCAAAGCGTGCCTACGACTAGAAATAAAATTCGAAAGCCTGAGATAAGTCATATCGGAGAGAAAGAATAAGCCAGTGAAGGGACTGGTGGGTCCTGGAGGCGAGGGACTTTATTTGGCCCACCCTCACTGAGGCAAGGCAGCCACGCTGCCCCCAAACCCTTCTGAGAAGGTCCCTTGCGCTCTTTTGCGGTCTTTCCCCTCCACTGGAGACGGAGGAAACGCGGGCAGAAGCTGAGCGTGGAATTCCTGATCCCCACCAGCAGCGCTCATGCTCTGAGACTCTGGGTCCAGCTGGACCTCTGTTCTCTGGGTCTCAGTTTCCCTTGGGCAAAGCGAGGAGGCTGTGTGCACCAGAGGGTCCCTGGAGCCCTGCTGATGCGTCCCCTTCTGTGGACAGCGGACAGACGCTCTTACCGCTGATCCAAACGGGCCAGGGTATGATGCGTCCCTTCTGGAGGAATTGCAGGGCCCCAGCCAACAGGGGAGTCATGGCCGGCTGGAATGTTCAGGCTGGGCTGGGGGAGTGAAGGAGCCCTTTGCAGGGGACTCGGTGGGGCAATAATGAGCAGCCCCTGTATCGTGCGGGACCCTGGGCAAACAGTAGACCCGGGCTCCGGGGCTTAGAAGAGGCACAGACTTCCGATGCGCCCACCAGGCCTTCTGTCTGCCTCCAGCTGAAGGCCCGGCGTCGGATCTAGTCCCGGCAAATCCGCGGTTCTGGGGCAGGTAACGGAACAGAAGTGGCCTTAAGTCTTGGTTTCGGCTTCGAGGCTGCGCTCCTGGCTCCGCAGCTCAGCAATAAGCGGATGTGGGTGGGTTGTCGCGGTAGAGGGACTTTGGGCTCAGTGAACCAAAACCTGGTCTCGATAGTCGGGGCGAGGGCTTCCCTTCCTCTGGACCAGGTGGCAGCAGTCCGGCGGGGCCGAGACGCGGAGGCGGGCGCCAGATCGAGCGGGCCTCACTCCCGCATCCTGGTTGGGTCATTTGCAGTTAGGAGGCCCCGCGGCCAAAAGTGCGAACTTTGTTCTCATTCGGCTCTTTTTCTCTCTGTCTCTGCCCGTCCCCTGCAGACGAATCGGCGGCCGAGACCGGCCAGAGTTTCCTGTTCGACCTGTCCAGCCTTTCGGACGCCGACGAGGTGGTAGGCGCGGAGCTGCGCGTGCTGCGCCGGGAGTCACCGGAGCCCGGCCTTGGTGTCACGGTTACCCCACCGCTGCTGCTGCTGTCCACGTGCCCCGATGCCGCACGCGCGCAGAGCCTGTTGCACTCTCGGTCCGCCGAGCCCCTGAACGGGGAGCGCTGGGAGGTGTTCGATGTGGCAGACGCCGTCCGGGGCCACCGCCGGGAGCCGCGCGCGGTCCGCACGTTCTGCCTGCTGCTGCGCGCGGTGGCGGGTCCGGCGCGGGGACCGCTGGCGCTGAGACGGCTAGGCTTCGGCTCCCGGGGCGGCGGCAGCGCGGCGGCGGAGGATCGCGCGCTGCTGGTCGTCTCCTCTCGAACGCAGAGGAAGGAGAGCCTGTTTCGGGAGATCCGCGCCCAGGCCCGCGCGCTCGGGGCCGCACTGGCCGCGGAGCAGCCGCCCGACCCGGGTCTGGGCGCCGGGTCACCGACTGCTGTCATCGGCGGTCGCAGGAGGCGGCGGACCGCGCTGGCCGGGGCTCGGGCCGCGCAGGGCAGCGGCGGGGGCGCGGGCCGGGGCCACGGGCGCAGGGGCCGGAGCCGCTGTAGCCGCAAGCCGCTGCATGTGGACTTTAAGGAGCTGGGCTGGGATGACTGGATCATCGCGCCGCTGGACTACCAGGCATACCACTGCGAGGGCGTTTGTGACTTCCCGCTGCGCTCGCACCTTGAGCCCACCAACCACGCCATCATTCAGACGCTGCTCAACTCCATGGCGCCCGATGCGGCGCCGGCCTCCTGCTGCGTGCCCGCGCGCCTCAGCCCCATCAGCATCCTCTACATCGACGCTGCCAACAACGTGGTCTACAAGCAGTACGAGGACATGGTGGTGGAGGCGTGCGGCTGCAGGTAGCATGCGGGCTGGGCCAGGGAGGGGGCAGCCGCGCCGCCGCCGACCCCCTGCTGGAGAGCAGCTGCGGACCAGGTCTGTCGCCGAGAGCGGGTGCAGGTCGGACTCTGGCCCCGCGCCCGCACAGAGGAGAGAGCGCGCAGGTTCACACTCACACCCACACACTCGTTCACTCGTGCACCCATTTACTGTGACTGCACCCGAAAGCCCTGGGTAGAGATGACTCGACGCTACGGACTGTCACAGCCATGTGTACTCTGCAAACAGATTATTACCACTTCACCCATCGCCTCCTCTGGGGGAGGATGGTGTTTGTGTTAACGTTAAAACAGACACTAAATCCGGTAGAAACAGGTTAGGGAATTGCCGACTCCAGGGTGGGTGAACTAAAGGGGGTATTTGCTTAAGTTTTATCTCACCCCTTTATGTTTCTGGCCGAGTGTGGGGCAAGGTTGCTGGGTGGCTGAGTTCCGGGTGTTGCGCCCCAGGGACCGAGAGGCCGCAGTGAGGTTTGCAGAGCACGGAGGCCACTCTCTCTGGGGAGGAGCAGCTGCAAAGAAAGGCCTTATCTCTTTTCTGTGACTTGTACAAGGGAATGTGTCCCCTCAGTTTGGAAAGGGAGCATTTGCCCGAAAGAACACATTGTGGAGCTTCCTAGATCTCTGCACAGGTCAGCACCACTCTCTCTTTAAAAAAAAAAAAAAAAATCAGTTCCTACTGGGGATGACCTAGAAAGCAGAAAACATATTTTTCTCTGGGAAGGGAAGTGAAATACAGGCAAGTCTGATCTGACATGAAACTGGGTGGGGTGCATCTGCCAGTTTCTGCCCAAGCTCTTAAGTTGGGCAGCCTGGGGTGGTCGCAGTGCCTTGGGGGGCGCTCAGGAGGAAGCTAGTACAGTGTCTGGGAATGGGGGAGGGGGAACTTTGGCTTTTCCTAGAAACCTGTCAGGAGGTTTTCCTGGGGAGCTGTGCAGAGGCTGGTAGGGCTTGGGAGGGGCCGGAGCTCCTGGGCGGCTCCTGCCCCACTGAGGACTCGGGCTCTGTGCCGGGTGGGTGCAGCCCCTCCAATGGCACATGCCCAGGGCGGGCAGACGTGTGCTTGTGTTAGCTATCAAGTCTGTGTCGGCTTTTACACGCGTTCACTGTGTTGTTGCTGTAGTTTTTGGCAGTGTGATAGTAATGGGAAATGAAGCCACACAAATGTGCTTTTGTGAGCTTGCAGCTCCCTGAAGCCCAGTGGTTCAGAGCAGGAGGACAGTCCATTTCTCCCTTCCTGCTCTGTTCAGGGGCATTGCAGGGTGGCTGCTTTGGCCCCTTCAGAAGGTGGGAAGCAGAGGGGAAGTCTACATACAGGCCCTGCATTTTGGCCCAGAGAGTTTTGTCGATGGTAGGACTGTCTGTCCTTGTAAAAGGGAGTTCGAACACGGCGGCCTTCATTGTTTGATTTGGTTCATTTCTGCCTGGGGGTCCTTTGTGGCCTGTGTAAATGGTTGGGAGAGGGAAGAGACATAAATTGGGAAGAGTCCTTTGAAAACCCCCGCAGTCCTCCTGACTGCTCCTGTTTAAGGCTGTCCCGGGCGGGCGTTCTTCGGGGTCCCTGAGGGGCACTCATTCCAGCCCGCTCGTCATGGGTGCTGAGGTCCAGGAACAGTCATACAAACTCATGCTCAGTTATTACATTCTTAAGGGAGAGAGCGAGAGGAAAGATTTAGCTACAGTCATTTAAGGGCCCCACCTCAGTCTTTTTTATCTTGTAAAATTCCCCCAAAGGAAAAGAAAACAATGTATAATCTGAATTTATATTCTGTGGCTATATGGGTAGCTATAAATAACCAGAAAACGCACCATCTCTCTAGGTTAAAACTGAAGCACTCTCAAAGTGGCTGCTGCACTGTGCCTGCACCCAGTTCCAGTGGCTGGGCCAAGACATCACATGTATGGATTTTGCCAGAGAAGCCTCACTCTGTTTTCTTAGACTATGATTTTCATAACAATTGCTTGGTGATTACTCCAATACCTGTTGTCATGGAGAATAAAAGTTGTGGTGTTAGGAGTTTTAGAAAGGGAGTTAATGAAAAACTATAGCTAAATATTTTGAAGAAATTCTAGGGTATTTAATATCTTTGGACAAAAGCAAATATTTTGAAACTTTTTTAGGGACTAGAAAAAATTGTCGGGGTGGGAGGATGTAGAAGAAATGTCGTGATTTAGCCTTCGATCTTTCTGGCAGGAAAAAAACCCTCCATTTTCTCCATTTCCTCCTGATGATCTCCTTCTGCAAAGATGTGACACAGGAGGAGGTGTCTTCCTTCATCTTGAGTCCAGGCTGCACTCGGGGTGGGTGTCTGGAGTGTTGTCCTTGGCTGGTGACAGTTCTTTCCAGGGCCCTGATGACTTCAGTGTGTTCTTGGCTTACCTAACAAAAGAAGTGCCTCCGGATTCCCTCTGGGGCTGTGTGTGACTACCAGGGACCCCAGTCCCACTGCAGCTCTGCACAGCCTCTGACAGCTGAGCTAACAGCAGGTGAACGGAGAGGATGTCCCAGGGGGCGGACAGGTTCTGGCTGCTGAGGTGCAGTAGACCAGCTTTGCCAAGACAGGAGGAGCGATTCTGCCAGCGCAGGTGGTGGTGCCCGGACTGTCTGTCTTCCAGGCAGTGGGGAGCGGGGCCGGATCACCAGCTGGGAGCTCCCGGCCTCACCCCCGGGGTGCTGGCTGCTGGCAAGCAGAGTAAAGTATGTCAGGACCCAGTAAAGGCAGCCCCGCCTCCCCGGTCACCCAAGTGTTCTTCTGGAAGGAAATCAAACCTTTCATTTTGTTGGGGAGAACTGTGCACTACCTGTGGGATCCTTTGAACCACTCTTCCTGCTGGAGAGGGAGGTTGGGCGTCCCAGGGCAGGCCAGCTGGGGCCCGAGGGCTGGTGCTGTCTGCCGAGCACCAGGGCAGTGTGGTCGCTGCTGCCGGAAGCCGGCCTCCAGCGAAGGGAGACCCCTAGGCTGGCAGCAGCCATGCCCACCGATGCCAGAATGCTTCCCTGGGGGAGTTCTGGTTTCCTGAGCATCGGGCTGGGTCCTCCGAGAGGGTGGCGGGCTTCGTCCCCTTCGCTTGGGAAGCAGGCTTGGGCTCTGGCTCTCTAACACGCACACACGGCCCTTCGCTCCGCAGCCCTGGCTTCTTGTTGCCAACGTGCCCGGGAAAGGGGAGAGCGTGGGCTGTGACCGCGGCGTCGCCCGCCAAGCCCGGTGCAGTAGCTTCGTGGAGCTGTGGGCAGCGGGAGCCTTGTCCAGTGCCCGAGGGGCACCGACCACCCTGTGGCTGTCGTCGGAGAATCATTCAAATCCTTTATCCGTTACAGTTTCATGCACACTCATAGCAACGGCTAACGGGACTGTAGTCTGGTTTCCTCCTTAAAGCGGAGTGAACAATTCTTTCCACGAGCAGCTTGTGCACAGAGAGGTCGGATTCTTCCCGGTCAGAATCTGGTCTCCAGAAAACTGTGACAGGGACAGAGAGACGATACCTGGCTCTGGGCCACAAATGTCACTGTGGCCTCGCGGATTCCCGAAGGGCATGTCATCGGGGATCCAGAACCTTCCCCAGGCCGAGAGCAGGGCCCTCTCGGTGGGCTGCAGGCCGGGCGGGCTGGGCTGCCGAGGCTCTGGAAAGAGGGGTCGGTCTGTGGGAGACAGGCCGGGCCTCGGGGTCCTCTGAGAAAGCGCCTGCACTGGGAGGGAAGGAGTCAGCAGACAAGTGAACCCAGCACTCAGAAAGGGGCAGCAGTGAGCGAGAGGTAACTAGATCGCTCTGAGGGGTCCGGGTGGCACCACAGCCGGTTCCACGGGGGCTCCTGTGTGCCCAGGAGCGAACTGCCCGCCTCAGAGCTCCACAGGTGCCCCCTGGGAGGCCCAGGCCCGCGTGGACAGTCAGCTCCCTCTGCGGCTTCGTGCAGGGCTCTGGATCGCACCCCGTCACCCGCACAGTTCCGAGCAGAGCTGAGGGGACTCTGGCAGAGGTGCCCCGACCCCAGCCCCAGAGACGCCTCTCAGTGTCGCAGCTCTTGCCTGCGTGTGTCCATCGCTCCCTTGGGCTCTTTGGTGCTTCATGGATGCTGCTTTGATTTCCACCTCGGGCAAGGCAGGTGCAGGGGAGGCCAGGACCTCAGGGGTGGGGCTCAGCTCACCAAAGCCAGGACCCTTTCTGTGTCCCTGCAGAGGGGCACAGCTGGCCCCGCTCGCGTTCCCCTGTGCTCACACAGTTATGGGCAGAGCCACACTCCAGCTGGGATTGTCCTGTGACCAAGTCCTGGGACAGCTCCTACCGGCCGGGGTGCCGCCCTGCGCGCAGCAGAGGGAAGACTAGGCTGTGCCTTTTCGGCAGCCCAGGCAGCCCCCTGGGGCTGTCCCACAGTCCCTGGATGACGCAAGCCAGCCTGCGCAAGGGGAGACTGCTTCACCAGGTCCCCAGCAGGTCCCCAGCCCCTGCTCAGCCACCTCACTGCCATGGCCATGTCTGGTGCAGCTTGCTGGGCAGTGAACCAGGGGCAGGCATCAGAGGAGCTCCTCCTGTTCTTTCTTATGGCCTGGAAATGGGAGGCAGAGTCTACCATTAAGAAACACTAGGAAGGTGAAGTGAAAAAGATGGTATTTCTAATTTCTCGGGCAGCTGGGCCTTTTGCACCTGGCGCAGACTCTCCCTTTGTGCTGGGCTTTCTTCCGGGCCCAGAACGTGGAAATGCACCAGCAGGCAACTCCCAAAGAGGGTCACCCTGCCCACTGCATCACCCACGTGGACGTGGCTGCCAGGGGAGGGGTGGGAGTGGGCCTTGGCATCTGCTGTGTGGGCTTCACTTGTTCAGGGCTATTTCCTGCTCACGATTCTCAAGCACCAGCCTCACCATAACCGTGGGAGCCGGTGCGTGCCTTCAGCGGGCCCGGGCCCAGGCGTAGCATCTTCTGGCCAGGGAATGTTTGGGTTGGGGCTTTGCGGCCACAGCAGTGGTTG